TGCTGTTTTGGACTCGGCCAAAATCGCTTAGGCGGTTACAGCGCCAATTAAGAAGAAGAAGATTTCATTTTCACCGTGTTCTGAGTGAAGTGTGAAGTTTCAAGTCTCTAGCTCATCGGGAAGTTGGTTAGAAATAATTTATTGCAGTTAAATAAAAGCTTTTGTAAAAAATTGGTAAAGCAACTTTAACCATTCTCTTTGAAACACAGTTTGACAAAGAAATTTTGCGAAATCGTGCAGTCATTGACGAATAAAATCAAGAAAACGCGAGGAGAAGAATCTCTTACTTGATTCGTATAAGTTTGGAAGATGGTGCTTCAGGTTTTGGGAATATTTTTCAATGTCTTCAAGTACCACTATTTGACTGGCCGTGTCGAAAGATTTCGACAGGTCCGGTGCTACTAAAACTATTATTTTAAGCTATCTGCATAGTTTACGCTGTGATAATACGCCTTCTTCGGAAGTCAAATGTTCTGACGGGAATAACAAGTCCTTAACTGTTTTCACTACAGGGAAAAGGAGATATATCTGAGAGAATGACCCTTCTACGTAGGCTGATTTCTCTGGTGTTAATAATTGTCCTAGCCTATCTAAGTACTTTCTATATTTAGCTAATTAAGTCACTGTTGCCGTGCATTTTTCACCCTTCAGTAGCGCGCCTGCATATATCCGTATGGTATCCTGCCAGGCAGCAGGTGACGTTAATTACTTTGAGCAACCACCACCTGACTAATTGTCTGTGACATTACATGACATTCTAGAACATTCGTTGTCTTAATCGTTATTCTGATTGATGAAAGCTGGGTCTCCACTTATATCTCTTGCGATGTTTACATAAAAATCTAAACGTTTAAATTGAGCCATATAAACATTTATGTAGGGCCGTGAACCTATTTTTAACTCGCAGAGCGTTTATTTAGCAATGACAACAAAGTATTGCCTATTTTACCACGCTAAAACAAAGACCAGCTAGATTTAGTGATAGCATGTCGTCTTAAATTCTTACCATATCGGCATCGATATGTATTCAATTTAGTTAATTAATATAATTAAATTTCGATAACAAAAAAAATTCCACTTCTTTGAATTTAGGATTATTGTGCAATATATGTATGTATTTACTTACTTGCTGTGAAATATAACGTATGTTTAGACTCAAATTTATAACCGTACTGGTGTGCTTTTTTAGTTGTCGTCGCGACATATAAATTACATTTTGACGCGCTTGATCAACCATACCATCGGACTTCTTCAACACCTCCAATTCAACGCCTACACGTTCGCATAAAAATAACGGCGTATCTATAATAATCGACTGTCGACCTGCACCATTTGATTTCTTATTCAATTTGGAGCATTTGTTTTTTTTGTCACCCGCCTCGCTAACTACAATATCAACACGTATTGAATCAAAGGTTCCGATAAGCGAAAGATTGGTGCCGAAATTCTCCAAAGATGAAATGTCTGTAAAGATACAGTTAATTTATCAGTTCTTATTTTTTATCAGTTTTATTATTGACATGCAATTCACTTAGTACCAAACCAAAACAAAACATGATCCATGTAAGACTAATTAATTGATTTTCAGCAAACAACAGTTTTCCGACATATCTTGTAACAGATAGTTTATCCTGTATTTATGCCCTTAAAAATTTAGACAATAATAATAGACCAACCACATTTTTGGAAAAGAATAGGCATGGGATGTTTTTGAAATAGAGTGTTATGCTGCCGTGTCTTAGTACTGCGACTACAAATTTATAAAGGTCTAGAGCTTTGATATCTAAGAAAAAGTTTTTTAAGGTTAAATATTTCGTACCTGCAATTTGATTTTGAGTGTAAATAATAAAACTATCTTCGACGAAAGTGGTAAGCATGATGCTCTCTCTCAAAAATATGTATATATATTCATGGTTTGTCTGTTCCAGAGAAAAGGTTTAAATTTGTTCATAATTGATAGTCAAACCTCAAAAGATATTTGCTCCATATCAACACATTTTTTAGCAAGAGTTAAAGTTTCCTCTTTTTCTTGAAAACATCTACTATTTTTCGGGAAACATTATGTACTAACTAAATATTCCCTGTTAATCCGCAGAACTTTTTTGTTTTCCGTGACCCTTAGAAAAATTGGCTATATTTCCCTCTGCACTTGGAAATAAAATCATCATTTCGATATGGCCTTGATTCCAACAGGAAATTGAAATAAAACCATTACGGTTTTATTGGGCTTTTGAAAGTTTCTGTTCAGAAATAATAAAATAAAATTTACAAAGGAACAAATTAAAATGTCTTTACTAAAATAAAAAAAAAACTAAATGGGGCACAACAACAGGTCAAGTTTGTTATCAAAATTACCCAGATTTTAATAGAAAGTAATATTACAGTGATGAAATTAATTTAAACTTGAGTAATACGCCCATATACCATAGATGAAAAACAAATTTATAAAAAAAAAAAATATACTTCTAGGAAGGACTGAGATTTTTTTAAAGTAAATTTTATTAGAAATGTTAAAATATAGCTATTAAAAATTTATAATAATTTACCTCTGTAATTTTTCTCTATTTAACCCACTTCAAAAAAGGAGGAGGTTATCAATTCATCGGAATATTTTTTTATGTATGTTACCGCATAACTTTGGACCACATTAACCGATTTTGATAATTCTTTTTCTGGTACCTCAGCGAAGATCCCATACTAATATGGTTTAGATCCGATCATTGGACCATGAAGAAATTGACGGTACTTCTAAATTTGTATATGAGAATTGAAGTCGGTTGTTTTTTTTTGCTTACTTGTTATTATAACAATCGAGTTTTACCGAGCCCTACAAAGGAAATTATATTGCATAAAGTTTCTTATGAACTTATTGAAGAGTTAAAATACAAATTTGTTAGGTACCTTAATTGCATGCTAATTTTAAAATGCGACTTCGTCTTTACACCATTTTTTCATTATTTTTAAACGACTTAACAAAAAGGAGGAGGTTATCTATTCGTCGTATATTTTTTTTAATGTGCATATGTTACAGCATAACCAATTTCGATAATTCATTTTTAAAGGAAAGGTAGTACCTCAGAGGTGGTCCCATCGTAATTTGGTTTAGATGCGGTTATTGGATCATGAAGAAATTAACGGTAATCCTGAAGTTTTACATGAAAATTGAAGTTAGTTTTGTAATTTGCTAAAAAATTACTTGTTTATTTAAACAATAGTCTTCGAGTGTCTTCTGCAAATCGATAAGTTGTTTTAGTGATGATTTCATTTTTGTTTTTTTCTACAAAACCTCTGTAAACGCTAAGCATACCTAAACCTAAATTTAAGTACAAACTAAGAGAAAATATTAAAAGATAATAATTATTTGGCCTTTTTTTTTAAGTAAATGTCTGTTTATCAGAACAACAAAAGTAAGCTGAAAAGGACGTTCACAGTTGATAAAATTATCGAGGAACAACCAGCAGTTTACCAAAACTACCGAAATGGTTGTGAAGATACCCAAAATTTTAATTTTAAAGAAACTTACAATGAAACTTTGGAAATTCGGGGGGTGCTTGCGCCAACTACACTCAACTCTTAACAACTGCAAAGGAACAATATTTGACAAAAACCTCGCCAACCCAGAAGAACAAGAGATTCTCGAAGGCCTTAAATCACAAGGTGTTGTCGATGTATACAAGTTTTCCAAAAATTTAAATGGAAGAAATGTCCCAACAGGTCGAATGGTTTTACATGTAGTTTATACAAAGTCCAAACCAACATCGAAGTTGCATGGTATTCGGTCAAGGTGGAGGAATATTTCGCCACACCAATGCGTTATCAAAAACGTCAACTTCTCGGTCATACCAAGTTTGCAACCTTCCTCCCAACATTCCTGAACCAAACCAACATCGATGTTTCATGGTATTTGGTCAAGGTGGAGGAATATTTCCCCACTCTAATGCGTTGTCGAAAATGTCAACTTCTCGGTCATACCATAAAGAATTGTACCAACAACATTACTTGTGAAGTTGGCAACCTTCCTCCCAACATTCATGAACGGTGTCAACGTATAATTTGCGCTAATTGTTTTGGACTATACCCAGCTTCTGCAGAGAATGCCCAAAATATTTACAACAAAAAGAAATATTAAAAATCAAAACACAAAATAATGTCTGTACAAAACACAAAATCCATTGACTATACCTGAAAACCAAACATTCTCATCAGTAATAAAGGCAATTTGCGGTTGAGTACTGACGTGATCTTTATTCGCTCCGTAAAAAATCATATTTATCGTTTAACTAAGAATATTAAACCATCGAAAGACACACTAAACTATATTCAGTTTTGTGTCGTCGCGAACTGCCCTCAGCAGTATAAAAAATCAAAGCGTGATCGCGAAAAATATCTAAATAAATAATAAGACAATAGGCGCACCTATTCGCGTAGCTGTTAATTGTTCATGTTTAACCAAAACTTACAAGTTTTTGCGTTCGCGTACGCAAAAAACTTGCATAGTAGGGGAAAGAGAGAGAGAGCAAAGTGACATTTCATTTTGAGGGGAAGCTGCTGGTTTCTGCTGGAAAAATGTTTGCCAACAGCAATTTGCCAACAGGAAAACAGCTGATCAAAAACAGCTGGTTGGCATTTACGCAAATCACAAAATTGAATTTGATGGTTTGGAAGTTAAAAATTACAAAATGGGACTAATTAAACTTGTAAGAAATAAGTAGTTATTTGTTTAATCAATAAACTGTGTCAGTATAACACTTTGTGATGGCTTTTCGTACGTTTTAAATTTTACTCTTTTGAATGTAAACAAAAATTATATCAGCTGTTCATCTAACTTGCAAGTTTCTGCAAATTTTCTGTTCGCGTACTATTTGGGATATTTTTCTCTTATGAGAGAACAGATGACATTTCGCCGGAATTTGGCAGTTGGTTGGTTTTTACTGGAGATTTTAAACGAACGCACCTATTATGTATATCAAAATAAATAAATAATTGTTTACATACAAAATACAAATGGTACTTAAGTGAGAGATGAGTGTCCAGGGCGCTCCCCTACAAGAGCGCAGGCACTCAATCCAAAGCGCAGGCAAAAGAAATGCATATTTGACAATTATTGCATGCAGCCCAAAAAGCAAAACCAGCAACAACAACGCTAAAGAAAACTCTTAAAGGGAATTTACATGATTCAACTTTCACAGGCGATTAGTTGAATCAAAAGTTGATCGAAAGTATGCTGCCGACCAACTTCATTGAAAGCGATTAGTTGAAAGGGCGATTGTTGCTTTCAACCAAAAGTTGCCTGAAAAATTGCATCATGTAAATTCTCTATTGTACTGCTAACACTCCATCCCAAACACCAGACGCAGCCAAGCAAAGAGCACCATCTTGCTCTCCAGCAGTGATCAATGTGGACAACAGCGTAGCTGCCTCTACTAATACTTCGACGGCAACAAATAAAGAAGAAAATAAAGCACAAAATGCTACTGTTCAGACTGGGTTAGATCGATACTAATAAAGCGAAAGCGCACACCCGAAAAAATGGAGAACAAAGTCCAAAAAATAAAATTTTTAAAGTAGTGACTTCAGGTACATCTACATCGGCGGAGAATAATCGTTTTAGCATTCTCGCTGATATGAATAATGATTTCAACCCACAGGCGGTTAAAGTGCATCAAATATATCAATTGCGATATCTTCTACATCGTAAGATCTCCGTGAAGAACCCCATAAGCGTAGAGGCCCTGTTCAAAGTCTTAACTGCCAGGAATTTGGTCACACACGTCGCTACTGCACCTTACCTGGTGTCTGTGTTATCTGTGAGGATTTACACACTTCTAAAGAATGTGTGAAACCAAAAATGGACCCGACATCTAAAAAGTGCAGTAACTGCGGTGGAAATCACCCTGCTAATTATAGAGGTTGTCCAGTTTATATCTCAATGAAAGAGAAAGCAATTCCCAAAAATATTCATCTTAGGCATTTCTTGAATTTATGAAGTGAAACGTTTTTAGCGGCAGTTCGTTGGTTGGGAGTAAATTGTCAAATTCAAGGGGAATAATGCACATGGAAATGGCTCTCAGCGGTTTAGCGGTTTGAGAATAAAAACAAAAACAAAGATGCCAGAGGTACATGGCAAACACGAAGATCAAAGTAAATTTAAACACTTTAAGGTAAAGGTGAAGAGGAATATGCAAAAATAAAGATAAATATGAAGAAAAGGATGAGGAGGAAGATCGATATTGGTATTGATATAAAACTCGATATTCTTATCGATATAATAATCGATATTGCTATCGACAAAATAATCGATATTGTTATCGATACTGTTATTAATTAAATAACCGCTATTGTAATCGATATAATAATCAATATAATAATCGGTGTAGTTATCGATACAATAATGGATATTGTTATCGGTATAATAATCGATTAAATAATTGATTTTGTTATCGATTTAGTCATTTATATTGTTA